ACTGAGATTGTGAGGCCCTTTAATAATACACACAATTGCCAAATCATCAAAGTGCCAAGGTGTGATTTCAAGGAAACCTGAGGACAAGTAGGGGTGTGGGGAGGAAAGAGAAACAAATAAAAGGACCAAGGAGTCCTTAGTATCATCAGTACATCACAGACCCTTCCCTACTTTGCCACTTTGGGACTCTGGCATCTGACAGAGCCATACCTCAGCAGATGTCTGATCTGGAGCTGTGTATTGCAGAGGGGTGTGGCTGCTGTTAATGTCTACATGAGACACACCACAGGCTGACTGCAGGCAGATTCTAAAGTGCAGGTTTTCCAGTATCTCGTCCTCAGAAATCTGCCAGTCTGTAGGGACAAAAAGATGTGAGAAAGTGAAAGGAGAGAATGTAGGGCAGCAGACGTGATTGTGGAGTACTATCTGTCATGGGTGGTGGTGGTGGGTCAGATGTGGAATCTGAGATTTTCTCACTGCGATGCTTGTATGGGGGGATCTGTAGTCTCACAGTGTGGACTGTATAGGAATTTGTGGGGTTCTTTTGCTGTGGAATATGTGGGGAGACTTGGGGGGCTTCTGGCTGTGAGGTATGAGGGGTCATTTTCGGATTCTATTGGTGTGGCATGTGTGCAGCTATGGGGTCCTGCCCCACAGAGATGGTGAGGAGGAGTGTGCTCCTCCCTGGTATAGGCACCCGTGGGATCACTCACTAAAGCGCATATGTTGGGGGAGAAGGTATCGTGACCAGCAAAACAAGGCAGCTCCATCAGTATGCAGCGGCAGCTCCTGGATATAGCACAGGTTGATGGCCACATCCCTGTTAGGAGGCAGGGTCCCCAAGAAACAGGCAAACACTGGACCCCAAATATCTGGCTGATCTTGCAGGTATCTCAAATTCTCCATGCCTGAAGTGGCTTTGTGCAGCTTCTGGGCCTACCACAAAGCGAGAAAAATGTGTTACTGAGGTCTCAGCAGAATTTTATTCTCTCACTTCCACACTTCACTTCAACCTGAACCCCTCTCCCTGCCCCATCAATCCCCCACCCTCACTCCCCCCCAAAGAATCAGAGTACCTCCTCCTTGTCCCAGAGCATTGCTTCAATACGGGTGTCCCCCATTGTAGCATAGAAGGTGTATACAACAGTGTCAGGGTCCACAGGAAAGACGAACATGATCTCCTCAGAGACTTGCTGCTTATTGCGGAAAAACAGCTTAGACTCCACATCAGCCACAAAGTCCTGGATGGTTACATTTACTGCCACAGATTCCAGCTGTATTTCTTGATATATTGAAAAGAACCATATTCCCCTGTCAAATAATCCTGAGGAAGACATAACAGTTGTCAGACTCACTGGTTGACTGTAGAGTATTTTACATTTAAAGTGTCTGCTAGCAATAGGCAACATTTGTGTGTCCAAACTTGCCACAGAAATACAATTTGCAAAAGCTGACAAACAGCAATGAAAGGTCCCTAAGGCTGCCAGTATGTGTCACTTGGACCACATTTCCTCATCTCTCTAAGCCCCGTTCTGTCTCGCATAGACCTCAGATCACCTAATTGTTCCATGCTTCACCTTAAGTCAGACCTATCATGGCACTGTGACAAGTCTGTCCTTCAATATATGGAATGAGATAGCCCCACAGCAAGCTTCATGCAAATGGCAGGAAGTTCTCTGCAGCTCTTCAAACCTTCATACTGTATCTCAGAGACAAGAAGCAAGTCCTACCTCCTGTTTTGAGACTAATGTTCCAGAGAGATTAACTTAAGTGCGTATACGACTCATTTTGCACTACTGAAAAGGAAGGAGGGACCCTAGCATAACATAAAAGGTAGTCACAGGAGGTCCACATCATCGTCCCATTTCTTGATGTCTTCCCTGGAAAGCCCTAAGCACTATGGGTGAAATGAATCACATGTACAGCAACCTCTTTTTTCCTATGCAACTCAGAAAAAGTAAATACTGACTACAGGGCATACCTCTGAGTTTCCAGAACACAAAGATATGTGCTTCCCTCTCAACCATTCAAGAAATCAGTTCCTTTCCACATTGATTTTCCAGTAAAAATCCTCCCCACTGTTCACAGACACCACACTCCTGGCCCCAACTCACCCCTGTACACACGATGCTTTCTCAGCATGCCACTTGGCCTCATCTTGACTTGAAGGTTGAGGTTGAAGACAGGTTCTGTGTGGGAAAGAGCATAAAGTGAGTTATGAGGACCTCATGAAAGAAACTGGGCACCTCCATCTTCCAATGGAAGGGGTGTGTGTGTGTGAGCTTAATTTACACTAGACAGGGAAGGGAAGGTGGCAGAAATAATGGTCAGAGACTGAGAAACAAGGCAGAGCATGGGTTTGGGCCTGAGCGATGGCAACTGCACATGGAGGAAACCAGCACCAATGACAGGAAGAAATGGACAGAGGAGGGGTGGACAAAGAGCAGATGAAACATAGTCTGGGCATATGGGTGGATGCATATATGGATTTGTGGGAGGAGAGTGGCAAAGCTGTTGTTTGAAGAGGGCAGTATTTAGTGAGCAGGAGGAGTAATGGCAGAAAAATATGAATGTATGGGAAGTTGGGCAGGAGGATGGAATTTGTGGTTGGATGCAAGGATGGCCATCCAGGCCAGTGGGGGGAAGATGAGTTGTGGTGGTTTTACCCAGCTGGACAGCTAAGCTCCACCTCAACTGCTCTCTCACTACCCCTCCTCAAAGGGAAAGAGGGAGAACATAAGATGAAAAGGGCCTAAGGGCTGAGATAAGGACATGGCAATCATTCAGTAATTATTGTGACAGGCAAAGCAGACTCAGCATAGGTAGGCTAGAGAAATTTATGACCTATTACTAACAAAACAGAGGAATGAGAAACTAAAAAAAAAAAAACCTTCTCCTCATCCACCCTCTTCCAATTCCTCCACCTGAGTGGCGCAGGGGAATGGGGAAATGGGGGCTGCGGTCACTATATAGCACTTCATCTCTGCTACTCCTTCACAGTCACTCTGTCCCTGCTCCACATGGGGTCCCTCACATGGGATGCCATCTTCCTGAACTGATCCTGTGTGGGCTTCCCACAGGCAGCAGCTCTTCAAGAACTGTTCCAATATGGGTCTGTACCACAGGGTCCACCTGTCTGAAGCAGACTGCTCCAGCGTGAGTCCCCCATGGGTGGCAGCACACCCCAAATACCCTGCCCCACTGTGGAACCCATGGTGGGACCCCATTCTCCACGGTCTGCAGCATGTAGATCTGCTCTGCTGTGGGACCCATGGGCTGCAGGGGGACAGCCTGCTCCAGCAGGGGCCTCTCCACAGGCCGCAGGGGAACTTTTTTCCAGCTCCTGGAGCACCTCCTGCTCTCCTTCACTGACCTTGGTGTCTTCAGGGATGTAGTAGATCCGCTACTTGACAGGGAAGGTCTCCTCACAGACAATGACATATGCAAAGCAGAGACGTTTAATGCCTTCTTCACCTCTGTCTTCAATGCTGATGGTGGGCTTCGGGACCGTGGTTGCCCTGAGTGGGAGGACCATGACGGTGGGAATAACAAAAACCCAACCGACCCTGAACGTGTGCGGAATTTGCTACTCCACCTGGATCCATACAAGTCCATGGGTCTGATGGGATCCATCCCAGGGTGCTTAAAGAGCCGGCTGATGTCATCATGGGTATACCTCAATATCTCAATTATTTTTCCATGATCTTGGGAATCTGGAGAGGTCCCAGTGGACTGGAAGCTGGCAAACGTCCCAGTTTTCAAGAAGGGTAAGACCTAGCAATTACAGGCCTGTCAGTCTCATGTCAGTGCCTGGTAAAATTATGGAGAAGATGATTCTTGAAGTTATTGAAGCGCACCTGGGGGACAATGCGGTCATTGGTCCCAGCCGATATGGGTTCATGAGGGATAGGTCCTGCCTTACAAATTTGATTTCCTGTTATGATAAGATCACCCATCTAGTTGATCAAGGGAAACCAGCTGATGTGATCTTTTTGGACTTCAGCAAGGCTTTTGACACGGTTTCCTATAGGATCCTGCTGGACAAAATGTCCAGCATACAACTTAACAAAAACATCACACGATGGGAGAGCAATTGGCTGACAGGCAGGTCTCAAAGGGTTGTGGTTAATGGGGCCACATCTGGCTGGCAGATGGTCACTAGTGGGGTCCCTCAAGGCTCCATTTAGGGCTAGTCCTCTTCAATGTTTTTATAAATGATTTGGATATAGGACTAGAAGGTGTTCTGAGGAAATTTGCCAACGACACCAAACTTGGAGAGTTGTGGACTCTGATGAGGGTGGAAAGGCCTTGCAGAGAGATCTAGACAGATTGGAGAGCTGGGCGATCACCAACCACATGAAGTTTAACAAAGACAAGTGCCGAGTCCTGCATCTGGGATGGGGCAACCCTGGCTATATGTACAGACTGGGCGATGAGACACTGGAAGGGCAGCCCCACAGAGAGGGATCTGGGGGTTGTGGTCAACTGCAAGTTGAATATGAGCCAGCAGTGTGCCCTGGCAACCAGGAAGGCCAACCGTATCCTGGGGTGCATCAAGCACAGCATCGCTAGTCAGTCGAGGGAGGTGATTGTCCCGCTCTACTCTGTGCTGGTCCGGCCTCACCTCGAGTACTGTGTGCAGTTCTGGGCACCACAGTACAAGAAGGACATTAAACTGTTGGAGAGTGTCCAGAGGAGGGCGATGAAGATGGTGAAGGGCCTGGAGGGGAAGACGTATGAGGAGCCGCTGAGGGCACTGGGCCTGTTCTGCCTGGAGAAGAGGAGGCTGAGGGGGGACCTCATCGCGGTCTACAGCTTCCTCGCGAGGGGGAGTGGAGAGGCAGGTGACCTATTCTCTGTAAACACCAGTGATAGGACCTGTGGGAATGGTGTTAAGCTGAGGCAGGGGAGGTTTAGGCTGGACATCAGGAAGAGGTTCTTCACCGAGAGGGTGGTTGCACACTGGAACAGGCTCCCCAGGGTGCAGTCACTGCACCAAGCCTGTCTGAATTTAAAAAGTGATTGGACTGTGCACTTAGTCACATGGTCTAAACTTTTGGGCACACCTGTGTAGCACCAGGAGTTGGACTTGATGATCCTTATGGGTCCCTTCCAACTCAGGATATTCTAGGATTCTATGTTTCTCAGTCCTCTCACTCCCAGCTGCTGTGTACAGCAGATTATCCCTTTCTTAAATCTGTTCTTACAAAGGCACAAACAACATCGATTATTGGCTCCACTCTGGCCAGGGTTGGGTCCCTCTGGGGCTAATGAAACTGGCCCTTATCTAACACTGGGCAGCTTCTGGACTCTTCTCACAGAGGCCACCTGTGCAGCCCCCCACTACCAAAACTTTAGATCATCATTCGAAATCATTAGATTTCATTAGAAATCATTAGATTTCTATTGGATAATTATCATCATCCCAGAAGTCATTAAAATATTCAAATGTCCCTGAAACATGCACATTTGTTTCTACCGGTGGTCTTTTGGGGTTTTCTGGTGGACATCAATAGTCTTCCTCACTGTGTTCGCTGCTTGGACCCGGCTCTTGTGCATGAGCTAGACATCTTGTTCTTTCTTTTCTTATTATTTCATGTTCGGCCTGCATACTGAGCTTAGTCATTTACACATCCAAGAACATATGCATAGCATGAGTCCTCATCTCATCTTCTTTTGACACATCCTCCAGGCCTGCATCATCTTGCCTTCACTTTGAGGTTCAAGTCTGTATTTGCTTACAGATGAAGCTGGCTAAGTAATACAATGTTTCTAAACTTCCTCCTATATAACTAATCATAGCAAAGGTTAGACCTATCTGCTCATAATGCATTTCAAATTTTGCTCCATTGCCCTATCGAAAGGGAGAAAACATATGTCCTTTTGATTTGATATCAGTTTGACCAAGTACCAATGGTAGGACACGGTTGCCAGCTAGCAGCACTAAGAAGCTGCAAGAGAGCCAAAGAAATAGAGCTTAGCCAAACAGCCCTGAGCAGAGGTGGTCCAGTCCCCAGTCAGGAAGCTGGCCAGCAGCCTGAGCATTGTGGTGGAAGTGTAGCAGGTCTCCAAGCTGGACAAATACACCAGCACATCAGTTTGTGCAGATGCTGATCTGTCACCATCAGCAATGAAGGTTTTCCTAAGCACAGTCTGCAAAAAGAGAGGGAGGAGGAATCAAAGCACCTAGAATCAGGTATGCTCCCAAATGCCAACATTTTCCCATTCTTTCTCCATGCTATGTTGTTGGTTTTCTCTTCCCCTCCCTTCACAAAGAGCCCTTAGGAGAGAGAATATTTGTGAAAGAATGTACTGTCAGAGAGAAAGCAGGGCTGAACACACATCAGTCAGTGTTCAGATTCCATTCAGGGGCTCCATACTTACTGGAAGAAGAGGCACAGGTTCTCAGTGAGAGCTTGTCCTAAGACAGCTCCCTCCAACAAAACAGTTGGGTTACCCCATGAAGTTGTTCCATGAAGGGTATTTGCTTAGACTTCAACAGTCCAATTACTAGGCCTGAAGTTATTCCCAGCATGCTCTTCACAAGTGTTAAGGACAGAGTTCCTTTTGCTATCAGGCAGGAGAAAGACAGCTTGGAAAGTGTGTATGAGGAGATGTAAATCTTGGATTCACAGGAAATGAAAGAGGGACCATTAGAGCATAGAATTAAATCATGATCCAGCACAAATATATTTAGCTTTGATTATGGAATGGCAGAAGTTAACCATTGCTTGCAGAATTGCTGCATGAGCGTATATAATTAATTATTAGTCCATGTGATGTATAATATAATAACATCACTAATAGGAAAGCTCCAGAATAAGGACAAAGTGGCTGCTTCTGGGTCAGTTTCAACTGACTCTTCAAAAAGACAGAACTGGCTTAGCAAGGATGATAAACAATCTGCCTGAAGAAATTGAGGAAGTACAGAAAGCTACAGGCCATTGAATTTAGAGTAGATAAAAGACAGGTCAGGGTCTATGTGGTGTCATTAGGAAGAAAATTACCAGTGAAGAACACACTGTAAACTAGTGGGTCTAGTAAATTGCTGTAAGTACGCAGCAATCTTGACCAAGTGAACATTGCACACAGAGGAGCTGTTGATCCACATATTAGTTAACCTGATGTGTTGGGTCTGTCTGGGATGGAGTCACCTTTCCCTGCAGTAGCCCACACAGTGCTGTGCTCTGCACTCGTAGCTGGAACAACACTGGTATCACTCCGGTGTTGTGTCTATTGCTGCATAGTGCTGGCATAGCATCAGTACTCCTTCCAAGGCCCCAAGAGCCAGCAGGCTGGGGGTGGGCGAAGGATGGGGAGGGGACATCGCCAGGAAAGCTGACCTAAACCAATCGAAGGGATATTCCATAACACCTGATGTCACACTCAGCAATAAAAGGGGGGCTCTCGTGGGGGAGAGGGCTGTTCCTCCTGAACAACCGCTACGCGTTTTGAGGCCCTGCTTTGCAGGACATGGCCAAACACCGCTCGTTGATGGGAAGTAGAGAATAATTTTTTTCCTTCTCTCTGTGCTTCTGCGCGGACTTATTGTTTCTGTTTCTTTTTCTCCCCCTTCCCTAGCTGCTTTACAGCTTCTAGTTTCCAGCATTGAAGAAAAGTAACATTTTCTGTACCATCCTCTCTTTTGGGTTAGCTTTAATAAAGAGCATATTAAATGATACTTTACAAAGTCTGAGTGCTTTTTTTTTTTTTTTTTTTTCTTCTTAATGCAAAACATGATGCAAACATCTTCTCCGGGCCTACTCAACATGTCAGGAGGGAGGATCTTGAAGCCCTTGTGCTGTGAATGTTGACTCCAAGGGCTAATATACAGGTCCTGTGGATCTCAGCAGGTTAGTAGATCTCAGGGATGTGCAAATGCTTGTCCTAAAGGAACGTGAAAAGGTCTGCATACCTTTAACATTATACTGCTATCAGTAACCATGATTGTGTGCAGCTACATTTCTGGTAGGTATTCACTGACAATTATCAGAATTAATCACAGCACAGTTAGATTGTAGTCACATGCTGACAGATTTCATCAGACTTAACTGACCTAAATGTACTTGCTATTGCTGTGATTATAACACCAATGTGCCGTGGTTTATGTAAGCTGTTAAAGATCATTAAGCATGTTCTTCATAGAGTCCCAAGTTTCTTTCTTCATTAGCTAATGCTTCACATTTTCCAGTAACAGAAAATGCTTCATACGCTCCCCAAGTGATGTCATATCATAGCAGATGTCCTTTTTCGTATCAGTAGAAGAATTGGCACTGCATTATCGGCTGCTTTGTCCTGTAGGTCTGTTCAGGATTGCCAGTAGGTGGCTGAGTGATGGTTAAGTGGGCAAGGAGCATCACCTAGCGCATGCTTATGGTAAATACCCAGAATGTGCCGTAGTGATCATGGCTGGAGAATCATCACACACGAAGGAGTTGGTGACCCACACAACAGTTAACCTGAGGAAGCACAGGCCTGTTCTGTGCTGTGCTGCACATCCAGCTTCACCTTCGGGATTGTGCTGGGCTGCACAAATGCCTTGGCTGCAAGACAGCCTCAGCCAGATCACTGTAACAGGGCTGACACTGAAGCCTGCTCATTGTAACATATTGCATGCTGATCAGTAGATCACCATTTGATGTTGCCACAGCCTGGGGTTCCCACATTGATGGGGATGTGATTATCTATGCTATCCTTCTTCTATATGTCTCATATTTCTTTACTGTCCTACAACATAGAATGTCATTTAAATGATATTTTACAGCATCTGAGTGTCCTTTTTAATGGGATCATAGTAAACCAGCAAGTCCTGGTGCAAAACATTGATGCAGCATCAGATCCCAGTGAGAAATGCCTTTCTGGAAAAAGGAGGGAAGACAGATGAGTGCCCGCTAGCCTGCATGAAAGTGGTGGGGGCAGTGAAAGGCATGTATTTGCTCAGGGGGGACTTCCTTGTGCTTTTGGAAAGGGAAAAGGAAGTGTCTCAATGTTCCAGTCCCAGCTGAAGTATTAACTCATTTCAAGGAGTAAGGTGTAGGAAGGAAAATTTGCACTGTTGTTTGGTTGGTACCTAGTGATTGAAGAAGCCACAGGGATATTTGGATCTAAAGTGGCTCTGCCTGAGCTGCCCTGTGCAGTAGCACCTGGGTGACAGGTTGCAAACAGTGGGGAGGAAGGGGCGGGGTGCTGGGGCACCTCTGAGGTATGAGCTTGCTTGTTGGGGAGAATGGGATTGGAGACCTTGGTGACCCTGGGATGAGGAGTGGAGAGCGGGGTAGGTGGACAAGTATGGCAACAGCATTTCTATCCTTGGCCATTGGAGATGACAAAGGCAAAGGAGAGGGGCTGAAAGGAAGCTTGGAGCACTGGGGCATCGGCCCTGCTCGCCTCTCCCCAGTCGATGAGGAAGAGGCATCTTGCTGAATTGTGTCCCCCCTCCTTGCAAATGAGACCAGGCAAGGGGGGACCCGTCTGCAGCACGGCTCACAGTGAAGGCTGGGAGGCTGGGGCGTGCGGGGGTGGGAGGGATGAGTGTCTCCCATGTGCTCTGCTTGTAACACTGGGCAGATGGTATAATAAGCAATGGGCTATAACTGTCCTACATACAGGAGCAGAAGTCAGCCTAATGAATGGAAATCCATCCCATTGCCCCAGGAGTAAACATGAATGTTAACACAAGCAGGGTGAGAGCGGGAAGGGGATGAACTGTCTTGCAAAGTCATTCTAAGCTCTCAGCCAGGAAGATGTGATGCATGACCATGCAGTTCCATTCCAGGCATAATGATGCAGCACCTAGACAGAGCTCAGAACTGTTAGCTCTTGATGATCATCTGCAGTCATGGTGAGATTTCTGAGGGAATGGTTTTGGGAACCACCCTTTTGTTCCCAGGAGATGGAGAGCCTCCAGCAACCCTGACTCAGCTCAGCATTAATGGCAGTCTTGTATTCTCTGCCAGTACTGCCCCAAACAGTTACCAAATTAAGGGGATTTTAACACATGTAAATTGAAAGGACCTCATAAAAATCAGACAGTTTTTCATCTGGGTTTGGGGTCTTCACATAGCAAAAGTACAGAATGAGAAAAGTAGAAAAGAAGAAAGGAAGGAAAATGACTATGTCCAAACCTGCCATCAGGGACCATTCACCACAAAAGTAAGGGTAGGTATAAGTGTCTGCACCTTACTCATATAAGAAAGCGATACTCTCATATACACATCATCTTTGTCCCTGGTGTGCCAGAGACCCCTGTCTCCAGTCGGCCATCCTTGTTGCCAGTTTCTTTAAGCTGTACATGGATAAACCTCCAGTTGCTGGAGGACCCCATTGTCAGAGGGTTCCTGTGAAGACCATTTCTATTTGATAAACTGAGTGCTGCTAAATTAGTAGAGATCTAAGGATATAATTCTGTGATCATAGTAGAAATTTTGTTTTATCAGCAACCAATTTTAAGAAATCTAGTAACAAAATATGTATGCTTATTCACTTATTCTGTGTTAATATGAATTTATGAATATCATGATCTCTGTGTGTATGATCTCATGATCACCGCGTGCATGGCTCATTGGCAATTTGAATCTTAGCTTGCACACTTTCTGTCCTCAGCCATGAAGAGCCTAAATATATAGACAACATTTAAACTAACTTACTCAAACCAGTTCTATTTCTGCACTCTCCCTGAGGGCATACGTTGTTCTTAGTCTCATGCAAAAGCCCTGTAGTAACAAGAGATGGAGAGACTCATTGCACAGAGCAACAGAAATGAACAGCAACACAAGTTCCATGCCCCTCAGCCTGGCAGGACTGAGCAATAAAAAACAGACAGACATGGAGAAGCCTCCTAACCTTTGCAGCAGTACAGCAAGCACAAACAAACGTGCGCATGTGCATGGAACAGATGTAAGGATGGATGTAGAGGCACACACTCACCATGGAACAGGATGCTGCAGCAGGACCAACGAGCAGACAGACACAGGAATGGTTCTGCGACTGAACACTGTTAGCTGCAGCAGGAGGAGGAGGAAGAGGAGGAGGAGGAGGAGGGCTGATATCTGCAGGAAGTGGGAGGGACAGATAGGAACTGAGTTCCCTGTTACAGTGCCTGTGTGGCTGCCTGGAATGCAGACAAATGTGCACTCAGGGCTGGGAACTGAAGATGCTGCCAGTCCTTCCTGATGGAATGGGCTAGGGGGACTGGAGATACTACCAGCCCTGCCTGTTGGGATGGGTGGAAGGCACTGGGTGTATGGATGCTCAGGGTCTTTGGGCTGTTCTGAGATGTCAGTGGAGCCATAAAGAAAACAAGGCCATGGGGTATCTGAATGGGAAGTGCTTTTTGGGCCTGGATGGAGGAAAGAGGCCAGGAAAGGCACTGACAGAGACCATGTAATGTGTTGGCCACCTTCCGGGGACTCTGAGCCAGGGATGCCACTTGCAAAAGGCTTGTTGTGTACAGCCAGGGCTATCACGAAGCAACCTACAGCAGCGATGCACAGGGTGGGGTGTCTGCCCAGTACTGCCCACTCTGCTGAGGGACTTGGGCTCAGGGGATGGGGGCAGGCTCATTGTGTTCCCCTCAGGAGCACCCCACAGCCAGAAGCAAAAGTGGGTGCTGATCAGGTAGTGTCTCCAAATGGCCACCTCAGTTTACCCTGCACCCACACAGTACTTCAAACAAGTTCATCAGCTGGCCTTCCTGACGCTCTTCTCTGCCTTTTGTTTTGGTTCCCCTCGAGTGAGCAGCTGAGCTCCACCACAGCCACTCTCTCACTCCCCCTCCTCAAAGAGGAATGGGGAGAAAATATGATGAAAAGGGCTCAAAGGTTGAGATAAGGACAAGAAGATCACACAGTAATTATTGTAATGGGCAAAATAGACTCGGCATAGGGAGATAGTAAGATTTATTGCTCATTACTAACAAGCTAGAGAAGTGAGAAACAAAGGAAAGAAACCAAGAGCACCTTCCCCCCCCCCCCCCCCCCCCCATCCACCCTCTTCCACCTCCTCCCCCCGAGCGGCACAGGGGAACTGGGGAATGGGGGTTATGGTCAGTCTACAGCACTTCTTCTCTGCCGCTCCTTCTCGGTCACTCTCATCCCCTGTTCTGTAGGGTCCCACCCACAGGATACAGTCCTTGATGAACTGATCCAGCGTGGGGTTCCCACAGGCAGCAGCTCTTCCAGATATGGGTCCGTACCATGGGGTCCATCCCTCAGGAGAAAACTGCTCCAACTTGGCTCCCCCACGGGCAGCAGCTCCGGCCAGGTCACCTGCTCCTGCGTGGTCTCCTCTCCACGGGCTACAGGTCCGGACCAGAATCTGCTCCGGCAGGGGTCTTCCACAGGTGGCAGCCTCCATCGGTGCAGGTCCACCTGCTCCACCGTGGGTCTCCTCCATGGGCTGCAGGGGGACATCCTGCTTCACCATGGTCTTCACCACAGGCCACAGGGGACTCTGCTCCGGCACCTGGAGCACCTCTCCCCCTCCTTCTTCACTGACCTTGGTACCTGCAAGGCTGTTCATTCCTCTCACTCTCCCAGCTGCTGTGTGGCGTAGTGTTTTGTTTTCTTTTTTTCCTGTCTTAAATATGCTCTCACAGAGGTGCAAAACAACATCGCTTATTGGCTCAGCTCTGGTCAGCAGTGGGGCCCTTACCAAACATGGGGCAGCTTCTAGATCCTTCTCACAGAAACCACCCCTATGGCCCCCCTGCTACCAAAAACCTTGCCACCTAAACCCACTACACCTTTTGCTTTGCCAACATGCCTCATTGGGTCCAACAAGATACAGGTAGGGAGCCAATTTTGGAGCAGTGAAGAAGCCTTGGAAGAAGACATGGGCATCTTGGATCTTTCTTGTAGACATTGCTGAGCTTGCTTGAAGGCACACACCCACAGACAATTGATTGCCAAAGCTGGAAATGGCTCGGTAATGGGTGAGCCTATATCCAGAGGTGGGGTACTGTTTTTGAGGACCACTTAGACCTCGTTGTTCCCCAATGCAAAGTCTATTTTAATTGAGGGCTGGAGTCACCAAAGTGCGCTAAGTTGCTCCATCCTGCAACAGTGGATTCTTGCTGCCAAGGAAATAGTAAGTTGGCACTGAAAGTGACGGACAGGGTCCATCATTTTAAGATGGTGTTTTGTACCATACTTTCTGTTGGCTTTCTGTTTCTGAGCTATGGGAAAGAGATTTTAATTCCCCACTAGATGCACCATACAGAAGTTCTGCTGCTGGGCTTGCAGTTGCAACGTATGAACCTCATCCATGATCGAGTATTTGGGCTATGTTGAGTGCATACAACTGAATGACAAAAAAGTAAATAATATGGATCATAGCAGATGGAGCTATACTCTACTCATTGGCATCCAGTGATAGGATGAGACGCAATGGGAACAAGGTAAAATACAGGAAATTCTGATTACATGTAAGAAAAACATTCTAACTTCAGAGGTAGTCAAACAATGGAACAGGTTGCCAGGAGGTGCTGTGGTGTCTCCATCCTTGAAGATGTTCAGAACTGAACTAGGCAAGACCCTCAGCATACTGCTGTAGTTGACTTGCTTTGAGTGAGTGAGTTGGACTAGAGATCTTAAGAGCTTCCTTCCAACTTCAGTAATTCTCTGTTTAAATGCTAGTAGCATTGCAGTCCCACACATCTCTTGATGACTCAGACACCTTTGCAGCTGCCATAGGATTTATGGGACTTCTACTTCCCTTCCTGACGGATTCCTGCTTGGCCATCCAAGGCTCTTTGGGTGCTTTGCCAGAAGTGAAAAACACACAAATGCTTAGCCTTAGAGCTTGGTACATTCCAATAATCTTTTGTATGCATTAAACAATAAACAATTGTTTTATTCTTTTAAACAACATCTTTTTGCTAGCAGACTCTCAACACTGGCTAAATATACCTGAAAAAAGTGACCCAAGAAGAGGAGCATGACAAGATCCTATGATTATTGGTGGGCCAGATATTGGTAGAATAAGCTGATAAGGTGTATATAAGGTAATATAACAACTCAAATCTGTGACCCACCTGGGAGGAGCATGTAAGGTTCTATTCCACTTGTTGGAGTTTCTGGCAGCTGCCACCGCAGTGACAGTCTGTAATGTCTCCACACATCAGCTCTGACACATCAGCTTCCCCATGCAGTCCCATGAGTTAGGGTCAGTTTAAAACCCTTAGCTTTGACCAGGTGATCAACAATATCTGTACTGCTAAACGTGGCAGCTTATAGACTTACAATCATGCTTGTCTCTAATATTTGTCCCTACAAGGCAACACACAAAGCTCAGAGGAGATGAATCCCAACAGAGGTTTCTTCTTTCCCATTACGGTACTTTTTGTGCTTAGGTAAATCAATCAAATAATACATTTTGCTCTTGGAAATAACACATTACTTACTCTTGGAAGACTAAACAATGTGTCTTGGTTTCTGGAGTTTGTTCAAAGAGAAACTTTGTGTGCTGTACAAAAATATGAGGCAGAAGAATTATGGGAAATCTGGCCAAGATGCCCTGATTTACCAGGTAAAATGGCACATACAGTCATCACTTATGGACTTAGAGCAGTCATTGACCGTGGATGAGACTGATTCCAGTTTCCTTCCCCCTCTGAGAAAGCTAGGGCTGTTTCTTCCCTCCTCCTGAATGAATACTCTAATGTCCTGGAGTCACATATCTGTAATTGCTTCTACAAACCTCTCAGTCACTTTGCCAAAAAGCTATTATCCATGGCATAAAGAACAAGTAGCAGAGAGATGCAAAATACAAATGACAGTATGGCCTGGGTAGCAAGATGCAAAATACAAATGACAGTATGGCCTGGGTAGCAAGATAATTGTCTAAGACGCATTGCAGTCTCTGCTACAGTGACTTTCCTGTGTTTCTTCTCTCTTCTCTTGCTCTTCTCTTCTCTTCTCTTCTCTTCTCTTCTCTGCTCTTCTCTTCTCTTCTCTTCTCTTCCTTCTCTGGGCTCTTCTCTTCTCTTCTCTTCTCTTCTCTTCTCTTCTCTTCTCTTCTCGTCTCTTCTCTTCTCTTCTTCTCTTCTCTTCTCTTCTCTTCTTCTTCTCTTCTCTTCTCTTCTCTTCTCTTCTCTTCTCTTCTCTTCTCTTCTCTTTCAAAACAAGTATTGTTTCTTCTTCTTATCTTCCTTTCCCCCCGGTTAAATTAATGAGATGCTCATTACCCAAGCCCAAGTGGTAAGATGAGGGGAAAGGACTCAAGCTGTGCCAGGGAATGTTTAGCATGGATATTAGGAGGAAATTTCCTACTGCAAGGGGGGGGGGTTTGGTGGTGCATCATTGGAATAGGCTAACCCAGGAAAAGTGTTGAGTCACCATCCTTGGAGGTCTTCAAGAAACGTGTAGATAAAAAACTCAGTAGCATGGTTTAGTGGTGGACTTTAGTACTAGTTAAAGTTGGCTAGGTGATCTTAGAGGTCTTTTCCAACCTGAATGATTGTATGATCTATTACAAGATGTTGGGAGCATGTGGGGGGTGGAGAATTTTTGTTTGTCTATGAAATAAAGAATATTTCTTTCATAAAGCAATAAAATTAAAAAAAAAAAATAGAGAGAAAAATCTTCATCTCTAGCATCTGATACAAGGTGATGCATTATGAATACTGAATTAGTAAGTTTCATATACACTCATACTGGACAAAAGAAGCAAAAACTTCCTGAGTGCACTTTGAGATACATCCAATTTCCTAGTGTTTCAAGTTGTCAGGACATTTAAAAACAGTTGAACATAAAAGAAACATACAATCCAAATATGCAGAGGAGAAGAAAGATTCCTTTCAAGCAGCATAAGTTTATATCTTACTCAGCTCAGCTATAATTTTGACTAGTGCTCCTTTCACTTCTTTGTTCCTCAGGCTGTAAATCAAGGGATTTAATGTAGGAATTATGACCGTGTAAAAGAGAGCTATGATTTTCTTAGTGTCTTGTGAATTACTGGACTTGGGCTGTAAGTAAATCAAGGTCCCACTACCATAATATAGTGTTACAACAATAAGGTGTGAAAA